ACAGCATAGAACTGTGTACGTCCAAGTGTGCAGAATTTAAACGTTTACAAAACGTCTAAAATTTGCACACCACACAAGTGTGCAACTTGAGTTAAACACAATGCAATGTGCAAAATCACAACTTGCACACGTTGGTGTGCAAATATTGCACACTTGTTTTACCAGTGCACCACCGCTCTCTGTATCCGTTTTTGTTCTTCTTACTTCCGGGCAGCGCTCCATTGAAATACCGTATTCAAAATTCTAAAATTTACAAGCCCTGCGTATCGACTTGGAATCAAATAACAAGCAAAAGTGGGAGGTCGTAAATGTACTCGGATTGTAAATGGAAAATTACAGAATGTATCGTACATGTACAAACATATTTTACATAGTGTTGGGGACTGTCTAAATAGACGGTACAGACCATTCACCCTGTACCCAAAAGAGGAAAAGACGGCTACGAGAACGGCGCTCGTCAACCATCCTTCATGTTCTTCTCACACACGTTTCTTGAAAAGAATTTGTATGCACTCACTTGGCGTTCCTGTCCGCTTCAGTGATGAGTCGCAAAGCAAGGCGCCCGACCGAGCCCCAGACGTCCCGCGTGTGGTGGACCAGGCAGCCACTGATGGAGAACGCGACGCCCTGGTGCCCCGCGTTAAACACCGTGCGCCACGCGTTCATCTGTCCGAGCTCGTAGTCTGTGGTGACTGTGACGGCGCGGAGGCCCAGCTCTTGCAGCCGACGGATGATGTGGGTGTACGAGGGCTCGTCCTTACGCTGCATCAACGCGTACGCGACCGGTATCACCTGCAGGAACAACGAGGTGGGTTTCAGTGCGTACTACTCATTGCGTCATACCAAGCGGCGAGCGACCCTGCGCACCTCTGCGAATTATACTGTATCGCACACAGGCGCGCGAGCGACAGTGCTTATCGCCTGTATTCAAAGCGCCTTACGGGCCGAGCGAGTTGACAACCCGGCCGCTTGACAGAATGCGGTGCAGTAAAACTACAGAAGTGCGCGGGCCGAGTGTGGGGTTAATCAGCCACCTGGTACACTGTGAAAAATAGGTAGGTTTACAGGAAAATTTTTCTTGACGCAAGTTGTAAAATGACAATTTGGAATCGTAAAAATACATGCAGTACGTATCGACTTCAAATCCATTGGCGAGTAAAAGATGTGCTCTCGTAAATGTACAACTTAAATTATAATTCAAGTTTACAAAAATTTTGTAAATTTACGACGATATTTTCTACAGTGTATGTTAACGATGCAAATTAAATCGTTATAGCGCTAATTCCCACCGCCAACCAGCCCACCACACACAAGCCCAAGCGCTCATGTGGCTCTGGTATCCACAAGCAAGAGCACTTTTCCTTTAATAAGGGACAGTCTTGACAGGTGTGGTTTTAAGAGGGTGACAGGGGCAGTCCCCCTTGAAAATTGCCCCCTGTAGTTCCTGGAAAGCTCCTATACAATACAGGGTGGTTCACAAACCCCTCCCTTCATTTTGCTTATACTGTACCGCATGAAGGCGGGCTTGCCTACTCATAAAGGACCGGAAGGCGCCGTGGTGAGCGACGGTGGACAACCCCCCCCCCCCCC